GAACAAGTATCAAACAGTGACCTTAGAAACTGTTCCTTTAAAGAGGCCAGAATGTGATTGGGTTAGTCTGCAGAAAATTTATGCCGTGTCATCACTGGAAACAACTGAGCCACCAGCTGGCAACTGGTGGAGTTTAACAGCTGGGTGTGGTCAGAGAGAGGGGGGAAGAGAGTCCTCCTAAAACTACTGTTGACCCAGGTGACAAGCCAGGTGGCGGTGGGCACTGCCAGCGCTGCCCCCGCGAGCAGCACTAGGATAATCCACCCAGTCACTAAACGAATGAAAAGCACATTGACAACAACAAGCCCCGGGGTGGGGTGGGGGCCAGTCCCCAGAGGTGCTGAAATATATTATCTAAAATGTCCAGTTTTCAACAAAAAATTAAGCATGCAAGAAATAGGAACACACACCCGTACACTAGAATAAAAGTTGGCAACGAAAACTGCCTGTGAGATTGATCAGATGTTGAATTTATCAGAAAAGGACCTCAAAATAGCCATTATAAACATGTTCGAGAACTAAGAAAAAAGATTTGATGGCTGACTGCATCAGATAGAGATCATCAATAAAAGGACCAATTAGAAAACGATCAAACGGTAAATCAGGAGTTGAATATTACAATAACTGAAGTAAAAGCTCACCAGGGGGAGCTCAATGGTGGGTGTGCAGTGGCAGAGCACGCACACGTGAACTGGAAGACAGCCTGCTGGGCTGCACGAACAAGCCCGGGACAGAGACAAGAACGCAGAGAACGGGGAGCGCTCCGGAGAGACGGGGCGCCATTCAGTGCTGCACACGCGTGTAAGGGGGAGAGGAGGGAAGAGAAACGGAACAAATAATGGCTGAAAACGCCCTGAATTTACTGAAGAACAACAATCTACAAAATCCAGAAATCTCAAAGAATGGAACTCCAAATATGATAAATAAATGCAAAGAGATTTATAAACAGACGCCAACACTGTACAGATGCTGAAAAGCACAGACAAGAAGACCTTGGAAGCAGCCAGGGGAGCACGACTCCTTACAAGCAAAGCCCCATGACAAGGCCACTGACTCCGCGGAAGCGGTGGAGGCCAGACCACAGCGGGCACACTCAAACACTCAAAGTCTCAGAGAGAGAACTGTCAACCAAGAATACTACACCCAACAAAGCTATCCTTCTAAAAAATTAAGACAAAAACACTTCAGGCACGCAAAAACGGACAGCATTTGCTGCTGCAGGCGCCCCTTACAGGAAATGCTAAAGGAAGTTCTTGAACTGAAAGCAAGTGACCCCAGCCGGTAATTCAAGTCCACAGAGAAAAGAGCGCAACGGTAAGGTAATCGCGTTCTTACAGGAGGCCGTTGACATGCATATGACCCACTTCCCCTGGGTGATGTGAAGAGCAACTGCATACACTGGGTACACAATGTGTGCAGGAATGTGCTCTATTTGCCTACAACAGCACAAAGCAGGTGGGTGGGAGCAAGGCTGCCCCCCGGCTAAGGAAATGCACTTATGGTGGTAAAGTATTCATGACGGTGTATCATAGGGTTTGTAACATTAAACGTTAAAAGCACACACCAGAAAAGTGGGTTAAGGGAACAGAGCTGAACAGGAGTGACATTTGTGTGTCTCACTGGAACTGAGCTAGTGCAATCTGAAACTGGGCCTGCCAGCTTACAAGGTACATGGTTAACCTAGAGCAATCACTGGGGGCAAAAAGAGTGAAAAAGTTATTGAACTAAAATGCTACGTTCGAACAGGAGAACAAAACAGAGGTGTGAAGAAAACAAAAGGGAAAATGACGTGTGAATCCAACCAAGTCAATAACCCACTAAACAATCCATCAAAAGGCAGTGATGTGGGGCTGGGGCAGCGCCACTGCTGAGACCCAACCACGTGGGGTCTTCGGGAGACACACTCCAGGGTCCAAGGGACAAAGAGTAAAAAGGAAAGCAAGTCAGGGGAGCCCAGATGCAATTCCCATCCCCGAAGGCGACCCCTCCCCAGGCAGGGGCGCATCGTGTCCCAGTCCCTCGCCCCAGTTCAACCACCCGCCAGCTGCCGACTGCCAGGAACGGGTGCCCCTCAATCCTCACCATCCTCCCGGGGGGACCCCTAACCGTGCGGGACCAAGCGAGGTCACACGCTGAGCGACCCCGGGCGCGGGTGGCGACAGCAGGGGCACGCGAACCCCTGGCCAGGCAGTATCAGAAGCGCAGAGGGTCCAGGCCAGCTCTGGAGACGGGGCCCCGTTCCCGGGGCTGGGCTGGGATCCCCCTCCCTTCTCGGGGCCGTAGCCTCAGAGCCCCGCTCCTGGCATGCAGCCCTGGAGTCCCCACCCTGGGGCTGCGGTCCGGGAGCTCCACGCCGGGGGCGGGCCCTGGCCCCCTTCCGGGAGGTGTGGCCCGGGAGCCCCTTCCCGGGGTCGAGGCCCCGGCCGAATCCCCCTCCTCTGGGGCGGCCCGTGGCTCCTCCTCCGCCCCCAGACAACCAGCGGCCAGAGCTCTCGCCCGGCCTGGCGCAGCTCCCCCCGGCCTCGGCCCCCTCACCTTCCGGCTCCTCATGAGTGTGAGCGGCGAACTGCCGCCCCCAACGCCGCCGCCAAAGCCCCGCGCCCGGCCTAACGCTTTCCAGCGGAGCAGTGAACCGGCGGCCCTCGGCTCGCGGCGCGGCGTCTTACGTCATCAGAGGGCTGGCCAATCACAACCCGGCGTCTCCAGGCATGTGATCCAACAAAGTCGGCGTTTTACGTAGCGGACGGGGCGACGACCATGTTTGTGAGGGGCACCTCCCGTGGGGCTCTGCGGCCGCCACGGTTAGGCCGGCGGCGGCCATGTTTGTGAGGGGCACCTCCCGTGGGGCTCTGCGGCCGCCACGGTTAGGCCGGGCGGTGGCCATGTTTGTGAGGGGCCCCGGCCACGTTCGTGGCGGAGGGCGGGAAGGGCCTGCGCGGTGGTCCGGTGCGCGCTGACCCGGCAGGCGACTGGCTTGCGGGAGGGACCTCCGGGCTTCGCGAACAGCGGTGCTGGAGGCCCTGGAGACGGGCGCGTGGCCGCGCTGCCCTTCGCGAAGCCCCGCGGCCCTGGCTCTCAGGCCGGTGCGGCAGCGCCACGCGGACGAGCATGAGGCCCGCCCGGTGGGTTCCCTGCGCTCCCCCGGGTCTGGGCCTCAACCCTTTCGGGCTGGGGGACACCCGCCCTCCGCGCCCGCAGAGACCCCTCCCCGGGAACCGCCCACCCGTCTCATTAGCCACGCGGGGACCGCACTTCTTTCACAAATGGAAGGCAGTGCTGTTTCCTTTTGTTACTACCGTTTTTTTTTTAAACAGGTGTGAACATTTGTTTCAGGCAGTTGTGCCAGAAACAATGATTTTTCCTGTTAAACTGCAAAGGCTGCAGTGAGTACCGCTGGAGGGTCCCTCTGCGCGTGGTTCCCCAGCGGAAGCGTGGTTCCCTGAGTCCATTTCTCTTCCAGAGGCTTTCATGGTCTTTGCTCTGAAGGAGTGACTCCCTCAAAGCCTGGAAGTACAGCCTCTGTTCAGTGCGTAAAGAATGAGGGCCCTTCAGGATCACAGGGTGCTCTGCAGCGGGTCCTCTCTTTAGAAATGCCTCCTTAGGCTGTTAGGGGGAGCCCGTTCACTGAGGTGGGCAGTGCGTGGAGACAGGTGCAGTTTGGTGTGCACACGGGCCCTTCCATGCGCACGGAGCACACTCACGTGTAACAGAAAAGAACAAACCTGACTCCACCTTAGATCTGTTCCTTGAGCTCTAACCCTGTGCTGTTACCTGGCTGAGTCACGCTGGTTCTGCACGTTTTGTGAAAGTGCCTCTAGCCTGAAATGTGCAGGATGACCTACTCTCAAGGCTGTGACCTTTAAGAGTATTGCACTTTTCCATTCATATAAAGATAAGTTGGAGAATAGACAGTTAAGTTTGTTTTGTTGAAGGTTTACAGGGAGGGACACCATGGTCTGACACACGTGGGCAGCTACAGGAACAAAGGATTCCAAGAACAAGGGACTCCTACACCAAGAAGTTTGCAACAACCAGCCACCCCCCCCCCCCTTTTTTAAGTGTAAAAGGAGACTGAATTCTGACTTGGGGAAGATGGTTCTCCAGGACATTAGTCTGCCATCTTCTCTATCCGCTGGCTTTCCGAAGAAAGTCGCTCTTCCTTGCCCCGACACCGCGTCTCGCCATGTTTTGGCCTGTCGTGCCGCAGTAACACGTGCACAAGTGCATATGCTCACCTACCTGGCCGTCTCCCTTCCCACTCCTGTGCTTGTCACTGAGCTGCTCCCCATTGCACGCCGAAGGGAAGAGACAAATGTGGGCTGGCAGGAAATCCATTTGAAGAGGAAATGAATCTAATCACTGCCAGCTGTTAAGAAAAAAACCAAAGTGATGCTGTGTTCAGTACCTCACCTGGCGCATTTCCAGTGAAATTGGTTTCATAGTAAGCTGGGTTCTGTGGTTTTAATTTGGACTCCATAAGAGCTCAGAGTTGTCCTAAATAGGGGTTGATCCACACCAGCCAGTTTTGGGCCCCTACAGTAATTGGTGGTTCGTGTCAGTGGAGATCAGTGCCCCGCTGCTTGAGCGTGCCTGACCGGGTCCTCTCGGTGTCACTGGAGTTTAACATCCCAAAAGAACTCTCCATCTGTGGTCGCAGATCTGCTCTGCTTCCCCCTTCCCAGCCCCCAGTTTCTATGAATAGTATTTCCAGGGACCCAGCTGCTCGGGCCTGACCCCTGGGCCATCCTCAAGAGCTGGGGGACGCTTGTTGCCCACCTCCCATAAGCAGCCGTCCCTGCTAATTCTGGACTGCAAAGGCGCACTAGCTGGCACTGCTGGCACCCAGGGTGGTCACTGGTCAGTGGTGGCCGCCCGCCTCCCGCACCCTTCCTTCCGTCTGCGGGGCTGGGCCTGCTCTCCTGCCCCACCTTCCGGAGCACCGCCCGGCCTTCCTTCACTCGCTGGCTCCACGTGTGTCTGCTGAGCTCCTGTTGCAGCCGGGACTGAGCTGGGCCTGGGGTCGCGGTGGTGGGGAGCTCACGCCCGACCTGCCTTTTTAGTGCTTCAGTGCAGTGGAGGACGGGTGTTGCTGGAATAATCACACAGGGAATTGTCCATTTGCAATGGTGGTAAGAGCCACGGGGAGAAGCCATGTCAGGGGCAGCATGTGGGTGTCAGGTCCACTCGGAGGTCAGACAGGCTCCTTGGAGGAAGCGACAGTGGAAGTTGATCAGGAGTCATGTCTTCCCTCCTGGACCTCAGCCCCTTTCAGGGCCCCCAGGAGGAAACACGCAGGAACTCAACAAGTAACTGATATCCAGCGGAGCCTCCGTCTGGGCAGAAGGCCGCCCCCTCCTGATGTGGCGGGAGGCCCTGCACTGCCGGACGCGCCACTCTTGGATTCTCCGCTCTCCTCATCTCCCGAGCTGCCACGATGGGGTGCAGTCCGTCCTGGAGGGCACACAGGACCCAGAACCAAAGTCACGCTTCTGCACGTCCTTCTGGGCGCCTCACCTGAACTTTGTCTCTCTTTTTCTTCCTGATCAGCTGTACCCCCTGCCCTTCCAGGGTTACGGGCCCAAAGAGGGGTGTCCTCAGGACGGCAAGATGTTGGTTCTCATTGGTGGTTGGTCTTCCCCGTGGATTGTAAGCTCCCTGAAGGTGGGGACTGTATTTTGCTCCCAACCATGGTCCCACAGCCCAGCATAGTGGCTGGGACACTCTGGCAGGTGCCCAGGACATCCCTGTCGAGTGATGGATGGTGGTGGTGACGCATACTGAGAAACTGAGGATTGAAATTTCCGAGGAAACTTTATATTCTCAACCGTGACATAATGTTGAAGCTGCTGAAACACTGAGGTGTCCACAGCTCATTGTCTGCCTTTTACAGGTACCTTGGGGCTGGTGGGAAGCTGGAAGAGAATCTCCCACTGGTCAGCAGCCAGTGGATTCCTGAACCAGGGCCACCCTGGCTGGAGCGGGGCTCCCTACTGCCTGCAGATGGTGGCCTGTATGATGAGAGATTGTCTCTCATACCCTGACCTTTTATATTTAAAAGAAAGATGTAACAGGTTTTTAAAAAGTGAGAGGCCCACAAGCCAAAAACCCCCCAAACCAAAGAAGCCTCACAGCAGGATGAGAGCAGCCGGAACTCTGTCGCCGGAGGGGACACAGCATGATGCAGCCGCCTGGAAGACAGCTGGGTAGATTCTTGCAAACGCACACATGCTCTCGCCGTGCGACCCAGCAGGCATCCCCTTGGTATTTACCCAAAGCAGTCTAAAGCTTGTGTCCACCCAGGGCTGCACACGGTGTTTGCGTCAGCTGTATTCTTAGTTGCTACCACCTGGAAGCAGCCAAGATGTCCTTTGGTAGGTGAATGGACAGATAAACTGCTGGGACCTCCAGACATTGGAATATTACTCAGCACTAAAAAGAGATGAGCTACCAAACCATGAGAAGACATAAAGGAACCTTAAAGGCTTATTTCCAAGTGGAAGAAGCCAACCCGAAAAGGCTACATACCGTGTGATTATAACAATATGGCATTCTGGCAAAGGCACCGGTATGGAGACAGTACAAGGATGAGTGGTTTCCAGGGGGCTGAGGGGTGGGGGGAGAGGTGACTGGCAGAGCACAGAGGATTTTTAGGGCAAATATGAAAATTCTCTGTGTGATACCATAATGATGGCTACGTGTCATTATAAACTTATCCAGACCCACAGGATGTACACCCCAGGAGTGAACCCGGTGCAAGCTCTGGGTGGTCATGGGTGGTCGTGACGTCAGTGTAGGCTCGTCGACTGTGACCAAGGTGCCGTCTGGTGGGGATGCTGGTGGTGAAGGAGGCTGTGTGTGTAGCGGGGCAGGGATTTGTGCCCCTGGAAACAGATCCCTGCCCCTTCCTCTCAATTTTGCTGTGAACCTAAAAATGCTCTAAAAAATAGAAGTCTGTGGAAAGAAAAAATATGTGATAAATTTCAGCAGCGATTTAAGAAAAAATGGAAAGGCTCACAGCCTGATTTGTAGTCTTGATTGACCCTGAGAGTAAGTTTCCTCAGTGGCTTCCTCTCCTGCCTGATGGGTGGGGCAGTCTCAACCGTCCAGCAGGGCGGCGTCTCACTCTGCATGTGAGTCAATCCCACGCAAGTCTGCCAAGGTCCCGCCAGGTGCCAGCGACCTCAGGACACGGAGGTTGACAAGGATGCGCAGGCTCAGAGCCCCGGGGGGCACAGGAGAGGCTCACAGAGCTCCTGCGACCATCAGGATGTGCCAGGAAGTTTCAAAGGGCCACTGGTGTCGAGCAGGAAAGGTCTCTGGCGTTAGGTTGGTCAAGGAAGGCTTTCTGGAGGAGGTGGCACTGGCATCGGGCTTTACATGTGCAGGAAATGTCAGTGCAGAGCTGGGGGAGCGGCAGGTGGAGGGGATTTGTGTGCCGGCGTCTGTGGGCGGATCCCAGTGAGGCTCTTCGCGGAGTCTCCCTGGTGGCTGAACATCAGGGCGGTGTCTGCTGGCTGCTTTGCAGGCTCATCAAATAGTGGCTTTAAAGCACCTGCAAACAATAGGTCATTTTCTGCCTCAAATCTCCTACAACCTGCTGGGAAGGGCGGTCGACCGTGGGTCTGTTCCACAAGCTCACGGTTCAGTAAATTCATGATCGTGGAAGGTTCTTTCCGGGGCCAGGCTCCAGGGGCTCCTTCAGAGACCTGGGCGAGGGTGCGCTCCCCAAGCTCACAGCTGTTCCCACCTCCTCTTTGCCTCCTTGGCAGGAAACTCGGAAGATTCCTTATTCAGAATTTCTTGTTTTCCCTTGTTCACTTGGCTTTCCAATCTGGGCTTCTGTCTTTTATCTGCGATTAATCGTGTGTACGTTTCTAGGAAGGCTGACTGTGCTTCTGTTTTTACCGAGAGCAACTCCAGGTCGCATGGGGGGGGCAGCCAGGGTGGAAACGCGCGTGAAGCAAAGCCCTCGTAAAGTGGCCACGTTCCGCCGCTGATGGGCGATGGGCAGAAACACAGCAGAATCAGCCGGGAGAGGCCTCGGGACGCCTGCACCGCGCGTCGTGACGGACACTGTTACCCGTTCGTTTCATTCATCAGGCATTTATTGAGCTCTGCGCGTGCACCGCGCAGCAGCCCCGCAGGAGACCGGGCAGCCGCATCACACGGCCTGGCCCACGGCCGGGAGGGGCCCGGGCTTGGGGTCTGGGAGACCCGCAGCCGTTCGGGCGGAGCCAGCGGAGGACGGCAGGGCGGTTGGGCTTTGGGAGCCGCCGTGGTCCCCGTTTACTCTGACATCACAGCAAACATGCCACTCGGGTGTTAATGAAACTGACTTCAGAACATAACATTCAGGCCCTGAGCCCCCACAGCGTCCTGGCCTGGAGGCTTCCAGCGGTTCAACAGGTCCGCTCGGTGGGCGGGGGGAGCGCAGTGGCCGTGTCCTTTGAGTAAAAACCCGGGGATTTGCTGAGCCTGGGAAAGGCTGTTTCCAGCTAGTGGAGAAGATGCCGTGTTATGGGGCCGTCTAGGCAGGCAGGAAGAGAGACACGGAAGAAAAGCTCTGTCTCTCCTGGGAGTGCCCTGGCCCTCAGGCCGGGGTCGGGGGCGGCACTGGGGGAAGTGGGCTTAGATGGCACTCACGCGCAGGGAGGCTCAGACTGCGAAGGGAACGTGGAATGAGTCTCTCGCAGCAGATTTAGCTCTGCCTCCCACTGCCCCACGCTTGCCGCTTCCATCGCTCTCGGCTCGCTTGGCACGCTAGGGACGGCCGCCAAGCATATGAATTTGCCCGTAAATGTGGCGGCCGTCAACGGGTGACGGCGGCTTTCCCTCCATGGCCATGTGATGCATGCGGCTGTGCACAGGAGCAGTAGCTGTTCAGGCACCTCCTGGTTTCAAGGCAAATTGCCTCCATCAAAGCCCAAACGTTGTGGGAGTCTGCCACCCCCGACGTGGGGAAGGCCACCCAGGAGAAGGCACCACCGTGGCTCCACGTGTCCTCACTGATGTCCCTTTCTGGCTAGACGCAGAACCAGTTAGTGCCGGGAGCAATTGACCTCAAGTCTAGGTCCGTTCCTGCCAGGCCCTCACGGAGCTAAATTTCATCAGATTTCAAATCCATCAAGTTTCATCTAGGCTGCAGAGACATGACAAGGTGCCGCACCTCCCAGCTGTCAGTAAGGGTGACGAGGCCCTCAGAGGGGGACCCCAGCCGTGGGTGGGAAGACTGGGGGGACAAATGCAGGATGGCAGGAGTGTCCGCCTGGGAGGACGCGTGGCTCACAAAGCCCTTCTTTCCAGATGCCTTTCAACCGCTTGAAAGACCTGAAAGTCACTGTTACACAGTTTTGCTTTCAGTGATGTGGGACTGGAGAGATTTTGCACCACCAGCATTTGCCTGGAAACAAGGCAAGCCTGGGGGAACCCCGTCTGTTTCCCCGAACCACGTGGCTGGTGCCTCGTCCAGGAAGGGAGAGAGGTATTTGATAGGGAAGGTGGTTAACTCACAAAAACGTAACTGACGCCAGTCTGCAGGTGAGCTGGGGTCCTCAGGGGGGCTGGAAAGATCCCATCCCACATCCGTCAGCGGGGTCTGCCCTCCTCCACGGGCACAGGCAGCTGAGTGACAAATGGCCAGTCTCCGCTCAGGCTGGCTGGCTCCTCTGCCTGCAGGAGTCCCCATATCCTTGAAGTACACCGGCCTGTTCACGCACTCCCACCCTGCTGCCTCCTGGGAATCCAGGGCAGACTCAGGTCAGCGCGTGTCCAGGCAGCTCAGCGCTAGATAAATGTCGCTGGACACAGATTTAAGTGGCATAGACAGGGATGCCGGTGGCCCCTCCACAGTGGCTAACAGGTGTGCGCTAACATCACGGATGTAACCTTGCTTCTCAGGTGACTCTGCCGAGGCTGGCTCGCTCCGCTCTCTGCCAGCTGCTTGATGAAACGGTCTCACCTGTCTGGCTCTGGCGCAAGCTCCCCTCCTGCCTTCTTTTCAGCCTGAGCACAAAACGGGAGGCAGATCGTGCTTTGCTATCTGGTCTCTCGGTTCGTGGGATGTTGGCTCGTGGACAGGGAGCAGCTTAATAAGGTTTGTGCCTTATGAGGGTTTTAGAGCTGAGCCGTCTGGAAATCTTACACATTTTCGAGCTGATGCAGTCGGCACGAGCTTAGAGGTGAAAAGGTGAGGATGATCTTTTCCTGCAGATTTGCCGGTCCCAGGGTATCTACCTTCGGTATTCCAGAGGATGGATTTACACCAGATCAGGAGATGGAGAAAGACGTTCATTCTCTTTCTCTTTCTCTCTTATGTGCACATGCACACAAGGCACACACACGGGTGCAGGCTGGAGGGTTCAGACCAACTACAAAGTTAAAGGACACAGTCCGCAAAGACCTCATTCAGCTGCAAGTTTGGGGGTCCCCAAGCCCACGCTCAGACTTGCTCGTTCTCCGGAAGGCTCATAGGACTCACGGGAGCTGTCACCCTCACAGCCACGGCTACTTGCGGGGAAGGGACGCAGATGGAGACCAGCCAAAGGAGGAGACGTGCAGGCCGAGGCCCGGGAAAGCACCCCAGGTGCAGGCCCTGCCCCACGGAGTCGGGACGCCTTGCTGTCTCGGCACTGGTGTGTGACAACACTCGGGACGACTGCCCACTAGGGAGGGCTTCCTGAGCCTCAGTGCCCCCTGCCCTGACTAGGTGGGGCTCCATGACAGGCATGACTGATGATCGAGCGAGAGCGACTGAGGACTGATCAATGGTGGATTTCTCACATCGTTGACCCCCGTCTCCAGGCGGCTGATACCCGGGACCCCCCCTCCCTAAATCATGAGGTTGGTCTTTCCGGCCCGGCCAGCCCCGCCCTGAGACTTCCAGGTGAGGCTGTCTCCCACCCACATCAGTGGACTATTTGGGGTGACCGGAGGCTCCCAGGAAACCAAAGACATTCGTATCAGGCAGGGCATCTTAGGGGTGACTGCGCAGAAGCAGGGGCCAAGGCCTGGTTAAATTCTCTAACACACAAACAGAAGGAGAAAAAGAGAAAATGTTGCTCTGTGGGTCCATAACATCCCCGTTCACAGGCTGGTTGGAAATTTCTTATCTCTTTTTTCCTGATTGCTGTTGAATTCCCTGGAACCAATGCCTATTGTATGTACCTGATTACAAAGGAAAAGATGTTATAGAACATTCTTCCTCTCAGGAAAAAATGAGGCACCCTGCCCTTTTCTCAGTGAGAGAGAATGTTCTTTTGAATAATTTTTTAATTTACTAAAATTTTTTTGAAGCTGTGGCTTCTAGGATGCCGTCTTCCAGCAGACAGGCGTGCAGATCACGATATTTTAATACTTGCGCTGCCCTGGAGGGTGGCCAGCGACGGCCTGGGGGCCGCGGTACCGCTGTGATCTATAAGACCACCCCTGTCGTCTCGCCGTCACCATAGAAGCAGGAGCCCAGGCCACGCGGCACAGCCTTGCTCCTCCCCGAGACCACTGGGACCCCAGCGAGGCTGCACTCCCTGGCCCCACCCAGAATGACCCTGGGTGCTCATGCAGACCAGAGGTCAGCCTTCCCTGTCTGCTGAGAAGTGGAATTATCCGTATCCCCAAAGAGCTGTTTCTGCCTGCTGTTCATTTACTGCCTGGAGTTTAAAAAAAATGCTGTGTTTTAAGGTCAGGAAAATTTTGACAGTCCCACCATGGTGGCACCCGAGTGGGTAGTTATGTGCATCACCCGCAGAGCAGGGAACTGAGTCTAAACAGTGACCCTTTTGTCTTGGGATGCTCAGTGATTCCCTTTAAACTTTGCCGCCAGGATGCTCGGCATCAAGTACCACTGACTCCCGGAAGCAGCAGGGCTGCTGCCCGGGTCCGCGGTCCAGGCGGGAACACCACCCCGCTCCCGAGTCTCCCTGCCTGGGCGGCCTTCATGCCGTGGACCCTGAACCCTGGGGTCA